CTCAAGCAAGTCTCCTGCCTCCGCCTCCCAAGTAGCTGGGACCACAGGCGCCCGCCACAACGCCCGGCTATTTTTTGGTTGCAGCCATCATTGTTTGGCGGGCCCGGGCTGGGAATTCGAACCTGTCACCTTAGGTGTATGTGGCTGGCACCTTAGCTGCTTGAGCCACAGGTGCCGAGCCCAGACATTTCATTTTATACATATTTCCTCCTTTTTTTTTGTTTGAGTGATGAGTCTTATGTTGCCCAGGCTGGAGCACAGCAGTATGATCACTGCAACCTCCATTCCTGGCCTCAAGCAATCCTACTGCTTGGGCCTCCCAAATTGTGGATTACAGGCTTGAGCCACCATACCCAGTCTCCTTGGAATCTTTCTAGAAATTACATTAAATACAGAAATTATTTAAGTAGTATATTTTGATTTTCTTTTTTTTTTTTTTTTTCAAGACAGTGTCTCAATCAGTCGCCCTGGGTAGAATGCCCTGGTGTCATAGCTCATAGCACCCTCAAAATCCTGGTGTCAAGTGATCCTCTTACCTCAGCCTCCTGAGTAGCTGGGACTATAGGTATTTGCCACCATGCCCAGCTAAGTTTTCTGTTTTTAGTAGAGACAGGGTCTTGCTCTTGCTCGGGCTGGCCTCAAACTCCTGAACTCAGGCAATCCACCCGCCTCAGCCTCCCAGAGGCCAAGAAAACAACATTAGACAGTTGTCTAATGAGCCAGCTATCCTGAGCCGGCTCACAGGCCCTGAAACTGCCAAAGGCTAGAATTAGACATATAAACCAGCTCATCTGGCCTTTGAGAAGTATGTTTTGATCAGTAGTATATAATTACCTTGAGCGCCCCCCCCCCACCTTTTTTAAGAGACAGAGTCTTACTTTGTTGCCCTCGGTAGAGTGCCATGATGTCACAGCTCACAGCAACCTCCAGCTCTTGGGTATAGGCAATTCTCTTGCCTCAGCCTCCCAAGTAGCTGGGACTACAGGTGCCCACTACAGTGCCTGGCTATTTTTTTTGTTGCAGTTAGGCCGGGGCCGGGTTCAAACCCGCCACCCTCAGTATATGGGGCTGGCACCCTCACTGAGCCACAGGAGCCACCCAAGCACCATTTTTTTAAATACACCTTTCCATCATCCTTGGTAAGAGAGCTTTGGTAAGCTATTTACTGAACTACTTATAAAAACTCATCCATTCTAAAAGATAGACCCTCTGTTCCTAGGCCCTTGGACTGGACAGTGCCAATGAGAAAGGATTATACAGGAGGGGTGAAGCTCAGCTGCTGATGAATGAGTTTGAGTCAGCCAAGGGAGACTTTGAGAAAGTGCTGGAAGTAAATCCCCAGAATAAGGCTGCAAGACTACAGATCTCCATGTGCCAAAAAAAGGCCAAGGAGCACAATGAGCGAGACCGCAAGATCTACGCCAACATGTTCAAGAAGTTTGCAGAGCAGGACGCTAAGGTGTGTATAGAACCCGCTGCCTTCACCTAGACAAGAACTGACCTTGCCCCTTTGATGTTTGTTTAAGAGGGTTAAGCATGGGGGACAGGGACAGTTCAACAACTTGAGAGATGTAAGAATAGGAAACACAATTTTCAGTCTCATCTGAGGCAGGTGTGGATTCAAAGGCTGAGCAGGCAGTGCCACTCAACAGAAGGGACAAGGTGTAGGTCCTAGCATGTCCACACAAGAGATGAAGAAAGTGGCTCAGCGCCTGTGGCTCAAGTGGCTAAGGCGCCAGCTACATACACCTAAGGTGGCAGGTTCGAATCCAGCCCAGGCCCGCCAGACAACAATGGCTACAACCAAAAAATAGCCAGGTGTTGTGGCGGGCGCCTGTGGTCCCATCTACTTGGGAGACAGAGGCAGGAGACTCGCTTGAGCCCAAGAGTTGGAGGTTGCTGTGAGCTGTGATGCCACAGCACTGTACTGAGGGGGAACAGATTGAGGCTCTGTCTCAAAAAAAGAGATGAAAAAAGTAAATTTTCTTGAGACATACTAAAGCTTTTGTTATTTTTTTAAAAATTTTAAATCCATTAGGGTTTTCTTCAAATAATACTTCCTTGTTGAAACTTCTGATTTCCCTGGGAAATGAGTTGTTATTAAGAGCCCCACCATGGTGCCCTTTACCTCTGGGTCAGGAGTCAGCCTGGTAACTATGATAGGAGATGCTGGTGGGTCTCCCCTCCAGCAGAGTTCTACTGTGCTCCTGACACCCAAACTCTATTAGCATATGGACTTAATTCAACAGCTATCTTGTGGGGCAAGCTAGTAATTTTAACCAAAGAAAAGTGAAACCTTGCACTCCATTGATAGAAGTGCCCTGACCTACCCAGCTGGACAACCTAAGTAGAATCACTATAATATACTCTTATTGTGGGCCCGGCAAACAGTTTGGAGGGGACAGGATTTATTTACTTCACATCTTTTTTCTCTAAGTCTCTTGATTTCGTATTTCTTCCTTAGGAAGAGGCCAATAAAGCAATGGGCAAGAAGACTTTAGAAGGGGTCACCAATGAAAAAGAAACACAAAATCAAGTAATGGAAGACCAGAAACCTGAAGGCCACGTATGACGCCGCGCCAGGGAGGGAAGAGAGTCCAAATGAACTCAGCCCCCTCCTCAATGGGCTTTCACCCAACTCAGGACTAAACAGTGTTTAATGTAAAGTTTGTTATAGTCTATGTGATTCTGGAAGCAAATGGCAAAACCAGTAGCTTCCCTAAAACAGCCACCCTGCTGCTGCCCAGTGAGTTCATTGAGGGGGTGGCATGGGACCACTCCAGGTGGAACAAAACGAGTGACTGTTGGTGTGGAGAGATTGAGCCAACAGCTTGAGTCCAGCTCATTTCATTTTATGTCAACTTACAATATCCAATTCAGGATCCCTTGAGATAATCCTAACAATTTGGGGCTTCTGTTAGGTTTTACATTTGAACTTTAATAGCACTACAGAAATCTTTTTTAAAAATGCTTAATATCTCCTTTCCTACAAGTGGGTGGCATGGGGGAAGGAGGATGAAGTTTTGTTTTTTTAAATAACTAAAGTGCTATGAATGCAACCTGTTGCATTTTTAACCAACAGAACCCACAGTAGACGTGTCTACTGTCCCCTCAGTTCCCCAGCAGTGTCACAGACTTGAAAGCCAGAACCTCAGAGGCCACTTGCTTGCTGACTGAGCTGCCTCCCTGACTCCCTTCTTAGCCAGCCTCCTAGTGAGAGTGAGCTTCTGCCACACACAGCCTGTCCCTGGGCGGGTAATTCTGTCATTCCTAAAAACACCCTTCAGCAATGATAATGAACAGACTGGAGTTTCTGGATTAGCTTTTCCTGTTTTGGATAAAGTTCTGAGATGCTGAAATGCAAAATGAGCAATCAGAATCGTGCTTTTTCCCCCTTCTATTCCTTCCAGGAAGTAATGTTGAATACATAGTACTTCCTGCTAGCATTGCTACTGTTCAGCTTCTTATTTCCATTCTAATCCTTGCTATTAAGAATTTAAGACTTGTTCTTATCATATCTTTGACCTGGAGTGGATTTATTACATATCCATTTAGGATTGATGCAGTTTTTTTTTTATCTTCTTTTTTAAATTACTGGCTCATAGGCATTTATATACTGGTTTATGGAACTTTATTTACACTCCTCTATCATGCAAAAAAATTTTTTTGACTTTTTACTACTAAGTACCTTAATTTGTAAAAACAAAATCTGTGGGGCTGACAAATTATGTGGACAAATGTAGAATGTTGCTCTTCTACATTAAGGATTTTATCTGCAGGTTTGCTTTCTTTTCCTGCCCTGATACCGTCTCTGCTCTGGTATGAGCTGTGAAAGAATTGAAAACAGCTTCCCATGCAGGTAGCAGGTATATCTAGCCAGAACCCCAATACTTGAGTATTGAACTAGGGCAGGTCTTAAAATAGTTATGTACATGTAGCTGAATTTTAGTCCTTATGGGCAAATGAGATTGAGCGTGGCTCTCTGTTCCCACAGCTTAAGAAACTCTCATGGGAATGTATTTGGCAACCCTAGGAACCATTTGCTTAAACCTGGAACATCTGACTTTTTTAAATCCTAAAGAACACTGGCTTTTATATTTTAGATTAGTTGTAATTTTTATGACAGTTTTAACAAAATACTTTCATTGTTAGGTTAGGACCCCCCATAAAACCTAAAAATCAAGCTGTTTTCTTTCATACCAGTTTTCTTCCCCCTAGAACAAATGGAATCAAATTGTGAGTTTTTTCCTTTAATGATTGCTAAAACCTCTCTAATTTCTCATTTATGCTTTTGATTTTTTTCATGAACTGTTTCTTTGAAAAGCCCTAATCTCATCTTGGATACATGAAAAGCAAAAGTTGATTTTGCTTATTTGCTTAATCGTTTGGTGTTTGAAGCTCTGTTGACTGGAACATGATTCCAATAAATCCAAGATTGAAATTTGATCCTCATAAGGCCAGTTAGCATTTTGCAGGTACAAACAAAACTCCACCAAAAATCAGATGATCCCAGCCAGCTGTTTCCCAAGTGCGTGTTATGGTCACCAGGGAATGGGCAAGACTGTGTGTGGGGAGTGGGGGAAGGGTGTGTGAGTGGTTCCAAGCAAATGAGTGCAAGGTGCCTGTCACCACCCAGGAAGAAATTTCACATGTTCTTGTATCAAATTTAGTAATCTGAAACAATTTGGGTAGAAATCAGATGTCTTTGAACCACCTTTTAAACTGCATATGGGTTGGTGAGTCAGCATATGATGAATTAAAAACAAACTGTTTTTTTAAAAAATCATTTAGATGCACTGTTTTTGTGTTCCTTAAATAAATCCAAGAAAACAAATGTGATTTCTCATTGTTTTTGGTATTGCTTAAATAATTTTGAGGGAAAAATATTTTGGTTGAAAAGTTATATATAGTAGGGGCCAACTTGAAGAAATGAGACATCAGAAAATTGGCAAGAGTTAACATTGTGTGCTCTTTGCTCTAACATACAACTTGAAATCAACACTGGGGTAAAGGCAGTAGAATGATACATCTTTGTTAAAATGAACCAAATAATCCAAAAAATAAGAGGGCTTTGTTTTTTCATTAACCACTGGGTATTTTACCTTTGTAAGCTAAATTTTAAAGTAGTTCGATGAAATTAAATGTAATGGTGCTCTTTAATAAGTCCAGAGGGTACAAAAAATGTATACACATTTTAAGAAAAGAAAAAACTGTATTAAAATTGTAATACTCAAGTCACATTTGGCTTCTGCAATTACAAGATATAAAAGATACAGTAGACTAGATAACTACCGGTGTATATTATTACAATTTGTAAGCGTATCTCAGGCATGTTTTATACTGAGCATTATTTTTCTTTCCTAAGCACCATATTTCACTGGATATTCATTGCCATAGACTCTGAAGGCCTAATAAGAAGATGGTGTCACATCCTGCAAATTCTAATTTTCACACTGCAAAAGCAGGTGATGTGCTGGGCAGTGGTGCTCCTTTCTACAGACAGTTTGAGATAGGTTCTAGGCACCCTTTATTCCCTCTGAGAGCTTTGCTTCATCTCTGGATTTGAATTATATTCCCCCCTCTTTGCTGTTAAATTATTTAGTAATAATTCACTTTACTTGCATACTTTTTTCCTAAGCAAATAATGATTACATTAGGTTATCTTAAGAAAGATTCCCGGCTCAGCGCCTATAGCTCAACCGGCTAAGGCGCCAGCCACGTACACCTAAGGTGGCGGGTTCGAATCCCCAGCCCGGACCGCCAAATAACAATGATGGCTGCAACCAAAAAATAGCCGGGCGTTGTGGCAGGCGCCTGTGGTCCCAGCTACTTGGGAGGCGGAGGCAGGAGACTCGCTTGAGCCCAGGAGTTGGAGGTTGCTGTGAGCTGTGATGCAACGGCACTCTACCCAGGGGGACAGCTTGAGGCTCTGTCTCAAAAAAATAAATAAATAAATAAATAAAAAAAAAAAGAAAGATTCCCGGCCACATACACCTAAGATGGTGGGTTCAAATCCAGCCCGAGCCGCCAAACAACAATAATGGCTGCAACCAAAAAATAGCCGGGCGTTGTGGCGGGCGCCTGTGGTCCCAGCTACTTGGGAGGCTGAGGCAGGAGACTCGCTTGAGCCCAGGAGTTGGAGGTTGCTGTGAGCTGTGATGCCACAACACTACCCAGGGGGACAGCTTGAGGCTCCTCTATCAAAAAAAAAAAAAGAAAAAAGAAAAAGAAAGAAAGATTCCCAGCTGTAAATTTGGGTGGTTGTTTTTTGGGGACAGAGTCTCATTTCAAGTAGAGGTCCCTGGCATCATCACAGTTCACAGCAACCTCAGTCTCATGCTCAAGGGATCCTCTTGCCTCAGCCTCCCCAAGAGCTGGAACCATAAGCGCCCACCACGACACCTGGCTAGTTTTTCTATTTTTAGTAGAAACAGGGTCTTGCTCTTGCTCAGGCTGGTCTTGAACTCCTGAGTGCAAGCAATCCATTGCCCTCGGCCTAGCCTCTGGGAGTGTTAGGATTACAGGCATGAGCCACCATTCCCGGCTGCTGGCTATAAATTTGTGATTCAGTAATTCCGAGGCAGCCTACACTCCAGCCTGGGTGACAAAGCAAGGTCCTATCTTTAAAAAAAAAACTATATCTATTACAGATCTAAAATTCAAAGTTAATTAAATTTGCAAATCAAATACAAAGTGGAGTGTTTTCCTTAGAAGTGTTTCTAGGACCACCCTCCTGGTCCTAGTGCCCCTAACACATACAGCCTGTCTGTTGAGAACCAACCACTGGTCCACTGAGGTGAAAGACAGGACCCCTTGGGTGTGAGTGGCTCACAGACAAGTGAAAAATGAGGCATGCAGATGGCTGTACTCCTGGAAAGCATCTACCATCTGTTACTGACACCTACAAAACTTAGGGAACAGCAGCAAACTCAATCCTGCCTCTTCAGCTTTCCTGCTCATTCAGAGCCTTTCTGGAGGCTAAGTCAAGCTAGAGCCCACCCCACAGCTGGCATCCAGACTAGCTCTGCTGTGAGCCTTTCCTCACTGCTCCCCGCAGCCAACCATTATTCCCTTTCCACGCTCCTCTCCTGGCATCTGGGCTGCAAAAAGTTCCCTGGTGTGGAATACACTAGGCCACCCTGAGCTACCCTAACCCTCTTGCCTAGGGCCCTACTGGGATTACAACCTCCTTGGAGCAGAGCCTCCCTCTTACAGAGTGCTCTAGGCAGAAGTCTGGGAACAGGGAGCTATGCCCTAGTCTGTTTTTCAGTTACTGCCCCCTGGACTGCAGCTGCAAAAAAAAAAAAAAAAAAACAGTTTCCTTTGTTTACAAGGCAATTGGACAGATGCACCCCATTCCCCGCTTTGTTTTCTGTTTTCTTCACAGTCACTAGGAAGGACAGTTTCAGGGAAACGTGTTTTTCATATGTCTTAATTAAAACTACTCCCCTCTTAGAAAGGTGTCATTTCCCAACTATTCTGGGAAGCCCCAGCCCGTTGTTGCCAGCACGCTCTCACTGCAAAGAAAGCTGCACTGTTTGAGTGGGTTGATACATGTTTCTTCTCCCCCCCACACACACATGCACTCTCAGCCACTCAAGGGTTTTGTCTGGGTGTCTAAGCTTTCTCTGAACCCAGTTATGTCTTGTTGACAAAGGGCAGATTGTAATGGTACTATATGCACCCACCAGTTGCTATCAAACATGATGGCAAGTAGGCCGGGCATGGTGACTCACTGTAATCCTAGCACTCTGAGAGGCCAAGGCTGGCAGATTGCTTGAACTCAGGAGTTGGAGACCAGCCTGAGCAAGAGCAAGACCCCCCTTCTCTACTAAAAGTAGAAAAACTAGCATGTATTGTGGCGGGCGCCTATAGTCCCAGCTACTCGAGAGACTAAGGCAAGAGGATATCACTTGAGCCCAAAAGTCTGAGGTTACTGTGAGCTATGATGATGCCACGGCACTCTACCAAGGGTGACAGATACTCTTGTCTCAAAAACAATGAAAAACATGATGGGAAGCAAATAAACCACTCCACCTTCAGGCTGTGCATCTGGGCCTCAGAACCAAGGGACAACCTGAACAACCCAGCTCAGCCACATGACGGTGAGGCTGGACTACATGCAGGCAGTGCTAGTGCCACACACGTCCATGGTGTGGTGTTCCAATGCCAGCTCCAAAACAGGGCTCCCTCAATCCAAGGAACCTAAAGGCCTCTAATGTTTGGCAAGAACACTGGATTAGATCTAGCCTTGTTGGGATCTGAGTTCCCTCACCTATAAGGTAATAATAGCTAATATTTATATAATTTTTTGCTTTTGAGACAGCCTCCCTTGGTCCCAGGATAGAGTGCCGTGGTGTCAGCCTAGCTCACAGCAACCTCAAACTCCTGGGTTCAAGCGATCCTCCTGCATAGGCCTTCCAAATAGCTGTGACTAAGGGCTCCCTCACCATGCCCAGCTAATTTTTCTATTTTTAGTAAAGATGAGGTCTCACTCTGTTCAAGCTGATCTGAAACTCCTGAGTTCAAGGAATCCTACCACCTTGGCCTCCCAGAGGGCAGGATTATAGGCATGATCCACCATGCCCGGCCTATATAACTTTTTAAATTTTTCATTGTAAAAAAGCACATAAGATGTATCATCTTTACCTCTAAATGTTTAGTTCAATATTAAGTATATCTACACTATTATGCAACCAATCTCCAAAATTTTTCATCTTAACAAACTGAAACTCTGTAAACCATTTTTTGTACCCATTAAACTATTTCCTCAGGGTGGTGCCTGTGGCTCAGAAGGGTAGGGCACCGGTCCCACATGCTGAAAGTGGCGGGTTCAAACCCAGCCCCAGCCCCCCAAAAAATAAATAAATAAAATAAACTATTCCCTCTTCCCCCTTCCCAACCCTGGTAAGCATGATTCTACTGTCTCTTAAACTACTTCAGATACTTCATATAAGTGGAATGGTATAGTACATGGATCACTGAAAGGTTAAGATTGTGCAGATGGAAACAAAGCCCTCCTAGCAACACCAAGAAGCCAAGCAAGGTGATAATTGCACAGGCGAATCAGAAAGGATTCTTTTGACTGTGTTTCTGGGAAGTGAAGTAATGGACCATAAAACAGTCTATCTCGAAACTTTCTTTTTTTTTTTCTTTGAAACAGAGCCTCAAGCTGTCCCCCTGGGGAGAGTGCTGTGGCATCACAGCTCACAGCAACCTCCAACTCCTGGGCTCAAGCGAGTCTCCTGCCTCTGCCTCCCAAGCAGCTGGAACTACAGGCACCTGCCACAATGCCTGGCTATTTTTTGGTTGCAGCCGTTGTTGTTTTGGCAGGCCCGGGCTGGATTCAAACCCGCCATCTTAGGTGTATGTGGCTGGCGCCTTAGCCACTTGAGCCACAGGCGCCGAGCCTTGAAACTTTCATAGTGATCCAAATATTTGTCTTTTTGTGACTGGATTATGTCACTTAGCACATTGCCCTTATTCATCCATCTTATAGCTCTGTCAGAATTTCCCCCTTTTTTAATGCATTGTAGAATATTTTTGATTTTTGATTTATTCATTCTTTTTTGAGACAGAGTCTTAAGCTGTCGCCCTGGGTAGGGCGCCATGGCGTCACAGCTCACAGCAACCTCCAGCTCCTGGGCTTAAGCAATTCTCTTGCCTCCGCCTCCCAAGTTGCTGGGACTATAGGCATCTGCCACAAAGCCTGGCTATTTTTAAGTTGTAGTCATTGTTTGGCAGGCCTGGGCTGGATCCAAACCCAGCACTCTAGCTGCTTGAGCTCCAGGTGCCGGAGCCATTGTAGCATATTTAGTAGCAAAGAAAAAAAAAATCCCTTTC